GAGAAAGAGCTGAAGTACCTAATTTCAGTAGGTAGGTTATACATAAAGGAGGTGAGAAGCCCACCAAAGGCTGACACTCATGGGGTGAGGAGAGGTGAGAAATATTTAGATAAGCATGGGAACTACGTAAGAGTATTGTTTAATGGGACTCTTCTCATGGTGTTCAAGGAGGAGGCTGCATGCTTGCGGAAGAAATTTGGGTTATAGCATGGGAAGGTGGCACTGGAGGAACATCTGGGGGTGGCTACATGAGCAGAGACCACTCTCTAGGATCCCTGAGGTCTGTTTACAGGTGCAGGGAATCTGAAGTCCCTGTGCATCCACCTGGATGCAGAGAGTTGAGAGACTAGTGGCTTGGCAAGGTCCTGGAGTAAGGACAAAGAACTTTCTATAATGAGGGACTTTGAGATGGCCAGGACAATTGGCTTTCGTAGTGATGTCAACACATCATCTCAAAAGGCCAAGTGGGACATACAGCTAGTTACCCACCCAGGGAGCAAACTTAGCTACACAGACCAAACCGTCTAGAAGACAATGCATTGTAGGCCGGTTTTTTTTTTAGCCTCAGATTACACTCAATTATGTCATGTTACCAAAATGTCACCATAGGGAAAAGAAAGTAAAGTGGTGGCATTCCAAACAAAGCACCTGAAGAGACTGAGTCATTTACGAGACATGTTAGATCATTCCTAACATAGAGTTGAACTTTAAATGGGCTGAAAACTTGAAGTGAAAGGGACTCTATAAATCTGAAGAAACTGAAGTATTGTTAATTGTGAGTTTCAAAATTTAAGTTTAATAAGTACTTGATGGATGGGATAGTTCATGGGAAATATTGGATCTATTAGAGAATTTTTTCTTTGCTTATCTCTCCAGAGGTATCTAAGTTGGTTACTCTGCCATATACATTTTCTTTTGTTCTCTCTGCCTTATTCATTCATCCACTTATTTATTTATCCATCTTACTGACTTCATACACTATTTTAGCTAATAAAAGAGGCATACGAAGCAAAATCTACAAACAGAACAATAATAACAAAGGAGGCTAAAAATCAAAAAGAAAAAATGAAAAAAACATAAACTTTGGATTAGGTTTGGAATTAAAATATATGCACTCAGTTACTATTTGAGCTAACATTGGCTTTGGACTTAGTAGTAGTCAGTGGAATAAAGGGAAATACAGTAGAACCTTCAAGGTAGACGACCTCCCTACATTGACTGCCTCCTTAAGTTCATAAATCAGACATGAACTACACGTACATATCAGTATAGTAGGCCTAGTTCCTATGTTGACCACCTCTGTATGTTGACCAGTTTGTTACACAGTCCCTGGGGGGGGGGGTCAACTTACAGAGGTTCTACTGAATTCAGTCCTATGGTACTTTACCATGCCCATATGGTAAAAAAAAAAAAAAAAAAAAAAAAGTATAGGTATACATACTAAGTCTTCAGAGATAATTCTTATATGCCTTCTCATATGAGATAATATATAAACTATGTTCTCAATTAAGATCCTGGAGTATGTGCAATAGTGAGTTCTGTAGGGCTGTTATTTGTAATATCCCTCACCGTAAACTTAGAGCATCATGACAGAGCACAGTTCCATGAAGGAAAGAAAATGCTAATATACTGGATCCATAGGAATCCTGTATTGAAATAGCCATGACGAATATCAACTTAGAGCCAAAGGGCACTTTTCTAAAAGAGAAGCTCCTGGGCTATCTATGGCTAGATCTGATAGCATAGTTGGGAATAGGGAGTAAGGGAGTTGCCAGAACATGGCTGTCTGAGAGGAATAAGAATACCTATGTACACACTCACATAAGTCTATACTATATATATCCACCCCCCCGACCATGTACGCCTTAACCTGTGTATATATGAATTGCATAGACTCAACTTCTCAGCTACACCCAGGAAGCTCCCCTGCCCACAGGCCTTGCCTTCCTCTAGACTAATCCACACCAAGCAGAAGTGCTCTCCTCCACTGCTGGCCAGTCAGTGTCTGCCTGGGAGACCATCTATAGAACTCCATTAACCCACAGAGCACCTCTACTTCTCTCTGTGGACTACAGAGAAATTTTCCAGGGACTTAGAATAGTTGCTCTTTCAACTAACCCCACAGCCTCTCAGAAAGCAGTGCTAAGTAACTTTTAAGAGTTATTTAAAAAGGCAAAATTAGACACGATGGTTTTCTGAGTCATAGCTCAGTACTCCAGCTGATGTCAGACCCTGTGCTGATGCACAAGCTCACATTAGTTCACAAAATAACCATGGGCACATTTCTCCTGAAACCAGGCCACGTACCCAGCACATGACCTAATGTACGTGAAAATTAACTTTTGGCAGCGGGAGGCTCTAGTTTTTAGTACATTAAAAGTCTAGTGTAAAAGTAATTAAAACAAGGACACATATATATGTTTTTCCAGGTGAGGAAGCCAGAGTTCTAGGTCAAGCCCTAAAAATGTCTTGGGTTTTAGAGCAACCTCTAAGGAGAAAAGAGCACCTTCCATTGAAGAAGTTTAAAATATTAGATATTCACAAGTCAAATAATGCCAAAGTAATCTTCAAAGGGCACAAATTTCGTATGTAAAAAATGAATGGTGATGTGGGACTGTTATTTGCAATGATTAACATCTATTAAGAAAGATAAATGAAATCATACCCATTTTGCAAGTACTGCCTTAGATAAAGTGGGAACAGACGTTGAGTGTATGTATGATACTGCTGTTTCCATGCATTTATTTACTATGTTCTGTCTTTATGTCTATTAAATAATGAGACTGAGATGGTGTGGAATTTTGCCGCCCTTTGGGGAGGCAAAGAATCCAGTGGTTAAGGAGTCACATGTACATTGTGTGATTCTAGGGAAGTTAACATTTTTGGGCTTTTATTCATCATTAAATTGGGATATTAATAATACCTACACCATAGTTTGTAGAGACAACTCAATAAACTCATATCTATACACACCTATCAGACTGTAGGGCACATGCACCTACTCAGTGAAGGTTTGCCACCTCTGATACTATTTTCAACATGATATTGTAATTCTTATTAATTTTTGGCAGGCCATTCTGTGTTTTGAGTTAGCTCAGAATAGTGAGTTACACAATTATGGATGACATAACTGTGTTTACTTTAGCATGCATAAGAACAAAACTACCATCAATTAACTTCAGTCAATAAATTAAAAAAATTCATATCTGTGAACTAAGGGATGTTGTAAGCATGGTTGCCATTGAAATGAATGAATTTGTTGTCCCTGATAACAAAAGTTTGCATTTCAGTGGCGAGATAGTGAAAAACACATGTAAGTACCACAATGTGTTAGATTTGCTACATTAGAAATATATGACAGGATTACGGTTCCAGTTTGTTTAAGGATAAAGGAGAAAGTGGTCAGTTCTACTGGGGCAAGTGTCAGGACAAGAACTGGGAGAGGAGGGGAAGCTTGCAGACCTCTATCACAGCCTAGTGGTTAAGTGCAGATGGGCATTCCACGCTGCGGGAACAGCGCCAGCAATGGCCCAGGTGCAGGAAACAACTTCATGTTCTGAAATGACGGGAGTG